CTATCCCTTGATTGGCTTTGGGGATAGTCAATTTAATTCTGCATTTGCTTCGCAATCAGCTGCTCCACCCTCCCTACTATGATTTTACCACCTCTGGTGACAGCCATCCAACCCTCGGAACACTTTCATCTATAGCAGTCCCTCCAAAATAGAGTGCAGAGATGGTTTGTGGGAGGTAAACTCTCTCAGCTTTTGCTTATCTGGAAATTGTTTAATCTCTCCTTCAAATTTAAATGATAATCTCACCAAAGTAATCTTGGTTCCAGGCCCTTCTGCTTCATGGCATTAAAGACATCATGCCACTCTCTTCTGGCCTGTAAGGTTTCTGCTGAGAAGTCTGTTGCTAGTCTGATGGGCTTTCCTTTGTATGTGGTCTTATTTCTGCCTCTGGCTGCTTTTAACAGTCTGTCCTTATCCTTGATCTTTCCCATTTTAATTACTATGTGTCTTGCTGTTGTCTTCCTTGGGTCCCTTGTGTAGGGGGATCTGTGCACCTCCATGGCCTGACAGACTATCTCCTTCCCCAGATTGGGAAAGTTTTCAGCAACTACCTCCTCAAAGACACTTTCTATCCCTTTTTCTCTCTCTTCTTCTTCCGGTATCCCTATAGTGCGAATATTGTTCTGCTTGGGTTGGTCACACAGTTCTCTCAATATTCTTTCATTTTTAGAGATCCTTTTTTCTCTCTGTGCCTCAGCTTCTCTGTATTCCTCTTCTCTAGTTTCTATTTCATTTATTGTCTCCTCCACCATATACAACTTGCTTTTAATACCATCCATCGTGTTCTTTAACAATTGGATCCCTGACCTAAATTCATTCCTGAGTTCTTGGATGTCTTTCCATACCTCCATTAGGATGTTGATTATTTTTATTTTGAACTCCCTTTCAGGAAGAGTCATGAGGTCCATATCATTTAAATCTTTCTCGGGTGTTGTATTAACAATTTTACTCTGGACAAGGTTTCTTTGGCGTTTCATGTTTGTATATGGTGTCCTGTAGTGTCCAGAAGCTCTATTCTGGAGCTGCTGAGCCCCTGAAGCAATGTCGGGGGTCACAGGGGAGCAGTACTAGGGGTAGGAAAGAGCTGTTCCCCACCTCCTGGCTCCTGTGCCTGTCTCCACTGCTTGAGCCAGTAGGCTGGGCACACAGCTGTAAGTTTTTATCCCAGAGCAGCTAGATATGGATCCCTGCTTTCCACAAGCAGCCAGAATCCCAGTCTCCCCAGGAACTCTGCCTGTATTAACTTTCCAACCCAGTAGTCATGCGAGTCTCATGAAAGCACCATGAAATGTAGGTTTGTGCTCCCAGAGCAGATCTCTGGAGCTAGGTATTCAGCAGTCCCAAGCCTTCCACTCCCTCCCTGCTCCGTTTGTCTTCCTCCTGCCGGTGAGCTGGGGTGGGGGAGGGGCTCGGGTCCCATGGAGCCACAGCTCTGGTATGTTACCCTGTTCAGTGAAGTCTTCTTTTTTCTCCAGGTGTGTGTGCAGTCTGACACATCCTCTTTCCTGTTGCTCTCTCAGGATTAGTTGTGCCAATTAAATTTTCTAATTGTATCCAGTTTTAGGAGGAAGCCTCTGTCTCTCCTCTCATGCCCCATCTTTAGTCTGTCTCAAAACTGGACCCTTTTTGCTGCCACTATCCAACTCCAACCAAGAGACACCTTGAAGATATTGGTAGTCTCCAGAGATCCCACACCTGTGAGTTCTACCTTTGAAACAGAAGTAATAACACATATTGCACAGTCAACTTTGAGAATGGTACATCAATACCCTTGCCATCATCCCATAAACTGTAGGGTCAGGCAGTGACCCCCAGAAAGACAAGAGTGAAAAAGAAAGGATATAAACATCTAAATCCACTGGACCCAGCCACTGCGTCCAAGTCAGACAAGGATAGTTTTGGAATTTCCTGTTTTCACACCTACCTTTCATTTCCTTACTTCTTTCCTCATTCTAATTTATCTCACATATAATTGGGTTCATGGGAAGGATGGGGGAAGAAAAGGGAGAGAACTAAGTGTAATCTTTATTTTTATCTGTGGGTTCAGAGTTCCACTAAAGATGTTTTTCACAGAGCAATTAAGATGACCAGTAAATTGTTCTAAATTATTACACCATTATATTTCATAGAAACTTTCTTAAAGCTAATATGACTTGTTTTTATTTTATAGTCTATTTTGCAACTGACATTTCTATGTATCTTCTTTAGGTGCATGTCTGGCTTTTTTATACATCAGATCTCCAGAGAGTATTACATATAAGAACAAGTTCTAAGAAATCAATCAAGTTTTCTGTCAAGTCCAAGGAATATCCATACTTTAACCACAAGCAGGATAAAATGAAGCACATTATCAATCTATATGAAAACATCAACAATACAGCAAGAAATTACTCCGACTGTCCTCGTGTGGTTTTACCAGAAGAGATATTCTTCACAATCTCTACTGTCGGGGTTTTGGAAAATCTGATTGTTCTTCTGGCTGTGATCAAGAATAAAACTCTCCAGTTACCCATGTACTTTTTCATCTGCAGCTTGGCCATTTCTGACATGTTGGGAAGTTTATATAAGATCTTGGAAAATATCCTGATCTTGTTCAGAAATGTGGGTTTTATCAAACCTCAAGGCAATTTTGAGACCACAGCAGATGACGTTGTTGACTCACTGTTCATCCTCTCCCTCCTTGGCTCCGTGTTCAGCCTGTCTATGATCGCTGCTGACCGCTACATTACAGTCTTCCACGCTCTGCAGTACAGCAGCATTGTGACCACACGCCGTGCCATCATTGTGCTGATGGTCATCTGGACATGCTGCATGGGAAGTGGCATCGCCATGGTGACCTTTTCCCACCATGTGCCCACAGTGATCACCTTCACATCACTGATCCCTCTGATGTTGGTCTTTATCCTGTGTCTCTATGTGCACATGTTCTTGCTGGCCCGTTCCCATGCCAGGAAGATCTCAGCCCTTCCCAGAGCCAACATGAAAGGGGCCATCACACTTACCATTCTGCTTGGGGTCTTCATCTTCTGTTGGGCTCCCTTTGTCCTTCATGTCCTCTTAATGACATTCTGCCCAGATAACCCTTACTGTGCCTGCTACATGTCCCTCTTCCAGGTGAATGGCATGTTGATCATGTGCAATGCAGTCATCGACCCCTTTATATATGCCTTCCGGAACCCAGAGCTCAGGGATGCATTCAAAAAGATAATCTTCTGCAATAAGTACCAGTAAAATTATTGATCTTTGTTTTTAGGAACCACAGGGATAATTTTGTTATGTGACAGAATAATGTGATATACCAAGAAATACTCCCCAACTGTCCTTTCCTTCCCTAATGCACATGAGATTATCCCACTAAATAGTATTTGTGATAGCTTGGTTCTTTGTGAACAGTCTTGCTGTAGGTACAACTTTTATAACTAGAGAGAAAAAATAGTGTACTAAAAAGAAGGATAGAATACAAGGCATATAGAGCAATACAAATTTGAGAGCTTCAGGCTAATGCAAAAGATGTTCTTCTATAGCCAATGACTTGGGTGGCCTCTCCAGGTTGTAGGCCAATATAGCTGACTTCTAGAAGATAAAGTACCAGAACAAATACTCAGGGCAGAAACTACAGGGTCTTTATAAGGAAAAGGTGCCAATTAATTGCTGCAGCTGAATGTGCCTGTCTGCACTGCCATCAGAACACCTGCCAACCTCTCTCATGCCTGTATGCTTTATTGCATGCCACCTCAAATCTTTTTGGAAGCAGGTAGGATATACATCATAAATGTCAAATTGCCAGCTTTGAGCTTTCAGCAATAAAGGAACCTTCTATGTTAGTTCCCTTTATTCAACTCAGGGTCCCACTGGCATTAAAATCCTTTCCTGGTTAAAACTCATGTTTTAGAAGGAAAATTTTAAAGGAGTAAATAAAAATGTAATCCATTTGCTTCCTGTGTGGAAATAAATAAAATTGACTGTTTGAAGAAAGTATAACCAATCTTTGCATTCCAAATGTAAAAGGAAAGGAAAAGAAGCCCCAAGCTCCAATATGTATTTTGTGAAATAAGGAGAGTGTGTATGAATATTTCCACCATGCTTTTGGACTATGGGAAAAACCAAAACCAAGACACCACTTCAGGAACAGTGCTACTATTGAGACCCAAGCCAGACGCTGATGGAAAACATTTTACCTCCTTCCACAGACAAGCCTGAGGGGCAGGTCCAGTCACTGGAAAATTTCACACTACCATCAGCCACAGGAAAGATGCCAGACATTGAAAAGCAGCCATCCCTGATAGGAATAAAATTAACGTAATTTTTAAGTTCATCCATTGTTAACAGCAAAAGATAAAGCTTAAAGAAGGAGTACATTCTGATTGTACACCTTTGCTAAGTTGAAGAGTAACTTAAAGGGATGAGTGAGGGAAGAAGTAAGGTCTTTAGGTGCGTGGAGTGTAGTTGTTCGGGATCCAACAAGTGACAGCATCTCCCGGAAGAGGCAACAATTGGCCTGAAGGAGTTTTCCCTGAGCTGGTGAAAGAAGCCAGCCACAAATAGGACTGCTGGAATGGTGATGAGTTTGACACTGCACATGGAAATAGAACAGAACATAAGAAGCTGAGCAGAGAGCATGTCAAAAGGGAGACAGTTGGAAGGATTCTGGGAAAAAGATGGTGGTATAAGAAGGCAAGGCAAAAACCTCCTTCCCAAATCACATAGAACACAAAAACACAGCAAATACAACTAAACCTGAAAATGACCTGAAGACTGCAGAACAGACCACCTACATCTGGGGAAGAGAAGACCTCCCGGAAAAGGGTAAAGTGGCAAAGCCACAATCCTGCAGGACCCCCACCTTCCCCCCACCTCAGCCCACAATCAGGAGCAAGAGGAACAGAGCAGGGAGGGAGCAGGAGCCCAGGACCACTGAACACCTGGCCCTGGAGATCTGCTCCAGGAACACAAACCCACATTACATGGTGCTCTGGTGATTAGTGGGGCTGGAGAAGAGAGACAGGTGGAACACTCAGGGAAGCTGAGATTCCAGCCTCTTGTAGAGAACAGGTACACTCTACTGACCCCCCGAGACAAAAGCAAAGCGAGCATATTGAAAGACTTCCCAGTAGCAAGAGGGGTGCCAGAGGGACAAGGATTACAGAGTGCTCTCTGCTTAGGAGAAAGGGCAGGTGGACAATACCTCCCCAGCCCACCCTCAGCCCAACAGGTTAGGAACTCTCAGGAGCTTCAGAGGCTCTGTCCTCCTTGCTGAAAACGCTGCCCCAAGACTCCTCCCTGCAGCTCTCAGCCTTGCTGGCCAGCAGCACAATCAGACTTTGCTCGTGGATAGGCAGAGGGAGACCCTCCCAGCTTGCTCAGCCTCATTTTGAGCCAGCATGTGGGGGCCAGCCCCAGGAGTTCATCTATTCCAGCAGGCACCAGTCCTGCTCGCCAGCGGCCCCAGCCATTGCAGCAGCCTGGACAGACTGGCTCTGCCCACAGCAGCTCCAGCAGTGCAGCACCAAGGCTCCTCCCTGCACACAGCCCACTTGACCTGACAGTGGAAGCAGGTGTTGCAGCCAGCAAGGCAGAGGGAAGACGCTTCCAGCTTTCTCAGCCCTGTTTTGGCCCAGCCACTGAAATACTGTAGAAGGCAGTCCCAGGAGCTCCTTTCTCCCAGCAGGCACCTATCCCACTTGCCTGTGCTCCCCCACCCCCACCCCGCTATTGATACAGGCGCGGTGGGGGCAGCTCTACCCCCAACTGCAACTCCAGCATCCAGCTCTGAGTAGTCTCCCTGCTCACGTGATCAGCCATTGGCCTACACAGCCCACCTGACATCAGATCACTGCGCCAGACAGAAAGGTGTCCCGTCCACTGCACACCAACAGCTGAGGTTCCAGCACAGGAAATTGAGTTCTGGGCACTAGAGGGCGTCCCCTACACAAAGTTACTAGTCCATAGGAAAAAAAAAAAAAAAAAAAATGAAGAGGCAGAAGAATTTGGTCCAAACAAACCACAAAACACAAGACAGGGTTGAGTGAAATTAAAGTCACCAATATTCTTGATAAAGGCACAAAGTAAAAGTCGTAAACATGCTCACAGATCTACAGGAAGATATTCAAGATCTCAGGAAGGACCTCAACAAAAATATAGAAGATCACTAAAAAAGACACTCATAGAGATGAAGAACACAGTATCCGAAATGAAAAAAAACAATGGAAAGAATTAATAGCAAGATCACACAGGTTCAAGCAGTTGTAAATGATCTGGAAATTAGGGAGCAAGAAAACAATGAAGTTGAAAAACAGAGAATAAAGGATCTCTAGGAATGAAAGAATAATAAGAACTGTGTTACCAATCCAAACGGAGCAGTATTTGCATTATTGCGGTATCAGAAGAAGAAGTAGAGAGAGCAAAGTGATAAAGTCTCTTTGAGGAAATAATTGTTGAAAACTTCCCCAGTCTGGGAAAGGAAGTAGATACTCAGGTCATGGTAGCACAGAGAGCCCCTAACCAAAGGAGAGACAGTGGAAGGCATGTTGCAGACACCAGCCTTGCAGATGGCAGACAAAATAGCAGTTAATCAGGGCTGGAGAAATCCTTCCTTCACCACATGGATGATGCTGTTCTAATGCATATTAACTTCATTTACTAATATAAAATGCTATATGTGAGTTTATTTTCATAAAATCTAAAGCACAACCCTCTCAATTATTTTTTTAAATGTTATTTCTACCATTAAAAGAATAACATAAGGCACATTTTTCTGTGATTAAATGAGTAATCTCAATAAAGTATAATCTTTCCTTGCTGTTGTGCTGTTCTATGATATGATGGAGGTGGGCAGAGGGTTTTAATCCTGTCACCAGTGGTCCCTTATTGAATTCTGCCCTTGTTAGCATCTCCCACCTCTTCATCACTTTCACTCACAAATGTCACATGACTGTTGCCAGAGAAAATCACCTAGAAATCCTTCCACTATCACTGCCTTCAATGTGTTACATCCAATCTAAGAGACAAAATCAAGCAAGCTATTCTAATAGTACATAAAGCAAAAACAAAGGCTGAGTGCTAACTAAGAGACATGTTCAATTCTAGGTCCTCAGCTATATTCAAATTTGATAAGGATCATTAATATTCAAAATTACTGAAAAAAGTATGGTTTTCTACCTCTACCTTCATATGTAATTCAAACAAAAACAGTATCAAACTGCACACATCTGAATAAGAAAGATCAACAAAGCTCTGACTTCCCATGACAACCATTTCAATTCTGTTATCAAAATATCAGACTTTAACTGTTTTGCTGATGTCATAGCATGTGTTCAGTTTTGCTAATGATCTAACTTTAGATCAGACAGCTGAGAATGTTAAAGAATTAAGTACTACAGCTGTCTTGATGCCTTTAAATGCAGGATACACTACAGCTGAGCCCTCTCTAATAAAAAGGAAGAAAAATGTCCTCTTTCTCTCCCCCATTTCCCCACGGCTATAGCCTGAATGTTTTCATCCCCTCAAAATTCAAGTGTTTAAACCTTAACCCTCAAAGGTGGTAGTATTTGGAGTCAGGGCCTTTATGAGGTGATAAGGTCATGATGGTGGAGCCCCCATAATGGGATTAATGCTCTTATAAAAGAAGCACAGAGGCTCCCTGCCCCTTCTGTATCACTTCCTGAGCACACAGTGAGAAGAAGCTAGCAGTGAACCAGGACTAGCCCTCACCAGGACCCAGATGTGCTGGTTTTGTCTCAGGCGGGGCAGCAGAGTGTACATGTGTGATCTGGGACTTCAGCCTCCAGAACTGCGAGAAATAAATTTCTGTTGTTGGTAAGCCCCCAGTCTGTGGTGTTCTGCTATGGCAGCCTGCTATGACTAGACACTATCTAGTCATAGATACCACTACATACACCTTCAGCCACACTCTCAATGGCTGAGGTAGTGTCTTGCCAATGGGTTTCAGCCCTGGGCAAGTTCGCTATGGATTCAGTGTGAACAAAGAAATTGACAGCAAAACGTTCTTGGGGTGAAAGGTTATACCCAACTTTATTTCCAGGTGGCAGGTCAGTCACTAGAATCCCATTCACTCAGAGCAAGTCCGCATGCAGTAAGCCGGTCTCTGCCTCTGGTCCCCTCTGTCCATACAGCTGTCCTATGAGCCTCTCTGCACAATTGTCCACACAGCTGTCCTCCAGGCCTCTCTGCACAGTCGTCCCACACAGCCATCCTCTGGGCCTCTGTCCTCAGCCCTGCCACCACTCCAGCCTCTGCTCTGCTCTTCTGCAGCCTTGCAGCCCTGCCACCATGTCGCACCCAGAGCACTGGGCAGAGCTCCTTTTTATAGAGTCAAATTGCCCACAGGTGTGTAGTGGGCTAGTCAACTGGGCCAGGTGAGAATCCTGGGCACAGGAACTCTCATTTTATCCACAGGTAGGAAAGGGGCTGAAAGAGCAGTCAAGAGCACCCCAGACTATCTGGTTAATATCTACTAAGAAGCATGAGCAAATAAATAAATTAATCACAAAAAATTGTCAGTTGATGTTTCCTACATGATAACATTACATATTACTGAGTGGTTATTTTAAGTCACATTGTTCTAGGAGCTTTGCATGCATGAATCTCCACAAAAGCCTTAAGACTAGGTGCTATCACTACCCCCCATATTTTTAGATGAGTAAGGTGAGATTCAGTGATACCATGTAACTTCTGCAGTGGTACCTGTAGGGCAGTCCTTGTGACCCCTGCCTTCAGGTGCTTCACACTTTTGTGGACCTCCTGTCTCTCAAGTGTGGGTAGGACTGTGATGTGCTTCTAACCCATAGAATATGGCAAATGTGATGGGCTATCACTCTCGTGATTATATTACATCTTGCTAGCAGATGTCAGAGAGACTCTGCTTGCCAGCTGAACAAAGAAAACAGACATTCTGGAAGCCCCATTGGCAAGGATTACAGGCAGCCTCTAGGAAAGGTGCAAAAAAAATATGGAAGCCGACCCTGAACATCAGATGAGAACACAGTACAACTCACACCTGATTTCAACCCCGTTGAGATCCTGAGCAAAGGATCCAGCCAAGCTGTGCCCAATTTTATGAGCCATGGAAACTGTGGGATACAAATGTGTATTGTTTTAAGCCACCAATTTTTTAAAGATGTTATGTTGGCATGGAAAACAAATACACTCACCCAACTTAAGTTAGTGAGCACCAGAGTCAGGAGTCAACTCCAGGCTGCCACTTGCCCCAAAGCCCTGGGATGTTAGGATGCTCCAAGTGCATAACCAGGTCAGGGCCGAGTGACTTCTTATTTTGCTTCCTTCTGTGCATGACAGGCAAATGGGGAGCACCTGAGGCTACTGTCCCCTCTGTGAGCACTTAGCTCCTAAAATGGGGATGTCACTCAGAGGGAAGGGCACCACTTACACCATCCCACAGCCAGAGCCAAGGCCCAGAGATTTTTCCTGAGGGAAGAGGCAGGCCATAAAATAAATTGCTCCTAATCTCTTCCCAAAGTAACTGACTTCACTCTCAAGTGTGTGGAGAAGTCCCAGACTTCACTCTCAAGTGTTTGGAGAAGTCCTAGCACTTTCAAAAGACCGTGGAGTTGGCGCAAAAGACAGTTGGGGAAAGGGACTGGGGAGGATGGGTGGGAAGGGAGGGATAAGGGGGAAAAGGGGGCATTACGATTAGCACACATAATGTGGGGAGGGGGGCATGGGGAAGGCAGTATAAC